TCTTGGAAACTTTCCCCCAAAGAGAGCACTCTCTGCTTCTTTGCTCATTCCTTCCTCCACCCTATTACCTGCAGTACCAATACGATGACTGTAGCACTATTGCCATACTGGACCACAAGGACAAGGGCCACAGTCTTGGGCAGTAGAACAGTGAGCCATAAGCATCCTGGGCCCCTATGCACTCTCTGGAGCACAATCCATACCTGCCCCTGGGTATTCCTCCTGACTTCTATATAAGAGAGAAATAAAAATCTACCTTGATTAAGCTTCCATTCTTTGGGAAGTTTGTTTTCTGTCCCTGAACCTAACCCTAATGAGTTAGTCTGGCACCAATGAACATCATAAGTGTTATATAATCACACTTATGGTTTTGTGACAAAGTCATACAAAATTGGAAGAAAAAGCTATTTTATTTTATCTGATTTTTTCAATTTACTAAATTAAAAATTACAAAAAATTTGGTGGTGGGGCTGAGATGCTATGGGAAACTTACATGCTGTGTGTAGAAGATTTAAACTTGGGTTAAGATTGGATTCTGTCCCATACCAGTTGTATGTTCTTAGGGGAGTTACCTAATCTGTTTGGGCCTTAATTTTCTATAAAATAAAGATACCAACACCTACTTCACTGAGTTGTTAGAATAAATAAATAAAATATATGTGACAGAGCTTAGTAAGTACTAAGCACTATGTAAATAGCAGGGGTTATAATTATAAAATTGCAAGAAAAGTTATATGTATAACCCAGAAAGGTAAAGTCAGCGCACATACAAACTCACAGTGGTGTTTGTATGTATGTGTGGGTTACTAGTTACAAATGAGAATACACTGAAAAAATCCATTCTAGTTAGTAACTTAGAAACATAAAAAAACAACAATTTGTGGCATATTGTCACAGATTCCTATCTTATCATCACATCAAAGCTGTCAGAATCTTTTAATATCTCTTATTTTATACTATAAAACATCCAGTTTTTTGCTTTATTTCAATAGGTTGACTCTAGTAAAAATGTAGATTAACCATTTAAGTTTCTGTACAATACCCAAGAAATTCTGCCAGAATGATTGCTTTGTTCAAAATTGCTTTCTGTTTTAAAACTATTCATACTAAGTGCTATTATAGTGTTAAATAGGGATAAGAAAGAAAAGTCCATCTTTAGTCTGGCAAAAAGATAAAATCCAATGGACCTGGCTTGGGGTGGGAATAGTCAGAGTTCAGGTTATAACAAGTTCTAGAGAGGAAGTGGGTTAAGAGAGGGTGATGGAAGCCACGTGTGGAAGCAGACGACAGCCTTGGGGACTGGGGCTAGTGGTAGGTAAATAAGACCAGGAGGGCAGCTGAAGGACTGAGAACTTCAAAGATGAGAGGCACTTTCACACCAAATTCAGGCAGTCGCAGCTGTGAGCAGCCTGGAGGAAGGAATAAGGCAGGAAGCATGTACTGGAATTAGTGCTGGTCCAACTCAGGTCTGCATGTATATCTCCACAGCACTTGTGTCTGGTTGGGAGAACCTTAGGGCCAACCAGGACTGTCAGCCAGAGGCTCCATCTGAACTACGTATGCACTACATGTTTCTCTGTCTGGTGGAATTCATCTCATATATATTTTTAAGGTTCAGATTTTCTAATAGTTCAGTTTTGTTGGAGAGGGGATCATAAAGATCCACCTGGTGGCAGTTAACAACGTGAAGCCTAAGGTCTCGAAAGGAAACCTGCTTCTAGAAAGAACATCTTATAAATCTATTTCAGCATTTACACCTAAAGAGCAACCCTTCACTTATTCAATATTTGACTTCCAAATCTAGAGAATGACTATGAAAAAATCAAGGCTCAGATTTTAAAAATTACATTTTTTTTTTGAAATTCTAAAATATGATTAAAAAAAATCAAATGTTAAACCTCTTACTAGCATTTTTGCTCCTCCTTCCCTGGATGTGGTGTTGGATTCTGGCTTCCTTTCACCCCTCAACCACTTAGCTTGGGGAAGGCTTTTCCAAGGACAGACCCAGTGAAGCCAACTCCAAAGACAGGGCAAGAGCCATCATCCCTGGAGGGTGACTTGAGGATAAAGCTTTCAGGAGAATAACCAGAGATCCCTTCCTCCACAGAGGATACAGCGTAACACAGTGACAACAATTTTTAGTCACTCCACAAGGGACTCTACTCTTGGACCACAAAAATATCATCCCAAAGTACACACTGGTACATCTTTGGATATTATCTGTCTTTTGTCAGATGTGTATGTGTGTGTGAGAGAGAGAGCTAGAGATTTAATTTCCTCTATATGGCAACCCTAGATTCAATGAAATTAAATACACCATAATCTTTTACCTTTATTGACAGAATAAATATAAAAAAAGGACACTTCACATACAGATGAGTTTAGAACAAACATCAAATCCTATCAAAATGATTGGTCCACACTTTTGAGACTATTGCAGGAAAACAATACAAGAGGAAAAAAGTAATTTGCAAATACCCTGTTTCCCATGGTACACTAGTTCTTGCATAATAGCAAAAAGTGGTAAACCCCAGATACTCAAAGGGGAAGTGTAGTTGTGGGGGCTCTGACCAGAATATGTTAGAGGTTAAAGTCCCACTAGCCATATGCATGTCTGTAGGCAATGACACAACAGTATTACTATGTTAAAGGCCCCTTTGCCCTATGCATGTGTGAGGGCAATGACTCAGCAGTAGCACTATATGTACTGCCCAAGCACACCCTTATATACCCTGCTTATGTTAAAACAGCACAGACATCATTAATTAGCATGAGGCCTCTTTTGTTTGAGTGAGTGTATAAGGTGCCCCTGACCAGCCAGTTGTTGGCTGCTTTGTTCATAATAAAGCATGTTCCACCGACCTATGGCCACTCATGTATTCTTCCAATTTACGGTTCCAAAGGGGTCAAGTCCCTGGCTGAGGTACTTGGACCCGACAGGAGTTTATTCTAGTTTACAAGTATGATAGAATGTTTTATAACTATTAAATGTCAAGCACAAATAAGTTTTTTTCAACCATGAAAAGATGAATGAAGAAACACATAGTTTTTCTTTCTGTAGGTGTGCAAAATGAGCAATGCCTAAAAATGATCGTGGCACCCATTGGTCCAGGGCACATTTACCGGGGTAGCAGGTTTCAGTATGTGCTCAATAATTGTACTCCTTTCCTCCCTACATGCAGCTACCCAAATTTTAGTTGTCCTACAGGGCCCATCTCAGATAGCTGATCCTCCACAGCCTTTGGTTGTAAACTTGAGGACATGAATTGAGTCTTAGTCACATAATGGTACAGAGCACGGGGCTGCAGCTGGCCCACATGGTGCCTTGTGCACATAGAAAAAAGCACTTCTACATGTGGGTGCGGCAGCCCCACGCCAGCTGGAGCTCAAGGGCTGCCATGGGGCTGCCTTCTAACCCCCTTTCAGACAAGATCGGGCACTTTCAGGGTGGTATGGCCGTAGACTCTAGCCCCCTTTCAGAGGAATGCCCTATGGCAGGCCACAACCTGCTTTTTGCAGCTTCCTCCCCTCTTCCAAGTCTGAATTTACAACCTTTAGAAATTCCTCATTTCTATTCAGAGATAGGCTTGCCCGTCTCTCTTTGTCTACCATCATCTGTAAGTCAGGTTTGTAAGCTTAATATTATTTTCCTGTCGAGGGAATACCTTGCAGGTCAAGACACTAGAATTTATAATCTTCAGTTAACACTGAGCTCATATTCCCCTGCTTTCTACCCTCACAAATGCGTAGCTCAGGCACTTGCTGCCTAAGTGTCTGCTGGGGCTGGATGCTGGGCTGAGTGGCCCAGGCCATAGGCTGCCAAGGCCTTCCACCCTCCCTATACCAATGGCTTTTTCATTTAGCAGGTGATTTCTGCTTCTATTCTTAGCACTAATGCAGAAATGAAATAAGACAAATACAAAAACCTCAATATAATCTTTGTGTGGTTCTTGCTGCATTCAGAAGCTTCTGGAAAAGACAGAGGGAAGCTGCATTGGATTTGGCCCACCACACCAAGCTGGGTCAGGGTCCACATCCTCAGATCCAAAGCTTAGTCACAGAGGTGCAGACATCTCTCTGGGGAGGGATTCACCCTAGAGTGAAAGATATCCCCCTCTGTTTTTGGGTGGAAGGAACTATTAACCTAATAGTTCTGAGTCACCTTTACAGGCTGGAGGAAAAGGTGCTGGATAGCTGGGCCTGCTCTGTCCCTCTGCTCCCAGAGGGGAACATCCTGCAGGCATGGGCTGTCCCAGGACTACACTGGGTAGAGGACAAATGCTCACTGGGAAGAGAAGAATGGGGAATAGACTATATTTATCTCACTTTTGCTGACTGCTTCTTGGGGAAAAAGAATAGCAGGTTCTCAGAAAAGAAATGGGATCAAGAAAGAGAAGATGGCAAATACTTGGTGTGATCTTTGGCTTCAAGTGAAAGCCCCAGGGTCTGGGGACCATCCTGTCAATTGTGAGGTCTCTCATGGTTCAGACTGAACAACACCATCCTATCGGCAGACCAGGAGTTTCAACAGGAACCTCAGCATTTAATCCATCCAAATTTGTGTCGCTGACCTAGTGCTCAATCAGAGAGTACTGTGGCAGGGCAGGCAGCCACGGAGCACTTGCATCTTTCAGAGCGCCTCAGGAAACCCACCACAGCTGAGCTGCGCTCTTGGCGCTCTGCCTGCCCGAGGGGCCTACACGGAGGGCTTCCTGTCACAGCACAAGCAGATGGATGGATGGGCTGCCATCTGCAAGGAGCAGAGTCAGGACCTGATTAGCTCCACCGTGAACTGTTGGGAAGCTGTCTTTATAACCAGAGACGTAAAAAGTATGGCTCCCTGCAGGGCTGCAACAGCCCACCGTTGTGCTGGTGAGACACTTCATTTATCTAGGCAGCTTTGCTGGGCTTATTACATGAGGCATAATCGCTTTTGTTACAATTCACAAGTATCAGGAAACAACACTCTGCCCGCTCCTCATTTTCAATGCCTTACTTACCAACTTCATCCCTGATGTTTGCAAGTTCGATTGACAGCTCTTTTTCTTTCACAAGGGCACTTTCATTCTGAAAAAACAAAATGGACACTGAGAGTCCCCTAGTTTTATGCTAGATAAGCACTTCCTCATGTTTAATTAATGAATCATATTAAGCAAATATTTATAAGCCTAAACCTTAAGGAGAAAATTTTCTCATTATGTAAGCATATAAAAATATACAAAGCCAAGTCTTATTCATTTGGATCATGTTCAAAGTGCAAATCTTGCAATATAATATTAATAATATCCCTGGTTGTGCTTTTCTCCATATTGCTCTTGTATAGATCACCCTTCAACACTTTTTTGCATCTCTATGTCTTTCACATTAATCTATTGTTATGTATTATTATACATTGTTAATTATCACTGTTATGATATTTTTTACTATGAAAACATGCATATCGTATTTCTTTTAGGAGCAAATGCTTATTTTACTAACTGCCTTCTTAAACTTGCCCTTTCATCCAAAGATGCACGGTCAGCTCCCTAATGAATAATGAGCAAAACACATAACATAAAACATTTCTCTTTGTAATTAGAGCAACAATAAAATATAAAGCTCCAGAGTTGGTTGTATGTGTGTATGTATGTGTTGAATTCTGTATCAATAGAAGGAATAAGAAGAAATCTCTTACTTGAAGTATCAAATAATATAAAGTATATAATTTCTAACTAAATAACTGCTAAGCTGGTTGCAAATAAATACATTTTATGACAAAAAAAAGAGAAGTAGTTGAAGCAATGCTGAACATATAATCTTCATTGTTGAATCACCATAAATATTCACCTTTCTTATGATTTTACTACTACTACATTAAGAAAGATGTGGCATATAAATTCTCTTCAAGTGAAAGATCCCAAAATATAAAGTCTCTGTCATTCTGTAAAATGTACTCCACTCCCAAAGCAAACATTTCTAAGGAGGAGATAGTGGCTAAACTGTGCACCAAATACCTAGCAGCACTATCACTTGTGAATACTCTTTCTTTATTAACCCCCTTTCACTCTGGTTTTAGCACCTGCGTCAGATTTGAACAGACAGTTTTCACAATCTTGTTTCTGTGTCTGTTGCATTTAGACCTTGGTAACACCTGTGTCGCTTTGGATTATGGGAAAGGTTTCAGTTTATCCAAAAAGCACTTGCTAGCCAAAGTCACAATTTCATAATGTTAAAATAAAAACTTATTTTCAGAATAAACTGAGAGCTATTTTGGCCAGGTATCAACAATCATTAATTAGCTCCTGGTTCTCTTAGGAACAATGTAGCAATGACATGTCCTTTGAGAGACAATGGACCCCATCTCATCCATGAAGCTCTTGCCTCCCAGCCCAGCCCAGAGCATCCTTGTCTCTTAGAATTTGAAGGCTAGAAACCCCACCTGCGGCTGTGTGCTTTCCTAATCACTAAGCCTTGCTGCCTCTATGACAAGACCATAGTATAGGGTTGTCATTATGGCTTATAAATTAATATACATGAAGTAGTTAGAATGGTGCCTGGCACTTAGCAAGCAGTCTACAGGGATTATTTGTTATTATAACTCCTCTGTTTCCTTTTACTTTATTTGTAACTAGATAGCATCCTATAGATAATAGGTGCTTTTCATATTAACAATCAAAATGTGTTTAACATTTTTATGCCAATCTCATACTTTTTAAAAAAATTTTTACAGCACCTTCCTGGCTGCATCCTGATTCTACTCCAAGCTCATAGACAGGACAGAACAGGAATGTATTTTAATCAGACTGATCTTAGTGATTATATGCTTGTTCTATACAATATGGCCAGCTGACATTCAACTTGTTACTACTAGTTGAGAAAATCTGGTATTCTGGAGAGGGTAAATTCCAGTATGAACTCTACAATAATCATAATCTAATGGGAAAAAAAACAGCAACTTGTTTCTACTATCCAGAATAATTCTGAACACTAATATTTGTAGTTTCTAAACAGAGCCAATGGATCAAAATACTGTACTTTTCAGACCAAAAATCGCATCACTCAAATATTCACTCTCAGAGTGCAGAGAGGTGTGGGCACCGAGAGTCAGTGAGGCAGTGAACAAGGAGAACTTAACAAACAACAAATGAACTTGTATTTCTAACCCAAAGCCGATAGTACCCTCTGCTCCAGGAGGTAGCCCTTGGAAAAGAAGCCTCGAAGGGAATGTGAACATGCCTGGGGGATCTCCCTGTCATACCAAAGCCTGGACACTTTCCGGCCACAGACACAGAGGAATCAGAGGTTTGGGGAAGGAGAGGCCTGAAGGCTCTCAGCAGGGAGGAGGACAGGCCTCAGCTGGGGACAGTGCTGACTGCCATGGAGGTGGTCCACAAAGACTCTGGACTTGATCACTTTGGTGAAAAGCTAATTCTGATATCTGTGGCCAGGCTTGTCTCACTATCTTTGTTGTAGGAGAAACACAAGTGAGAAGGAAAGAAGCAAGAAAAGAACAGGAGGGGATGGGAAGAGAGAAAAGAAGGAAGGGGGAATAGGCAGGAAACAGGTGAGATTGGAGACTCTGCATCTGCTCAGGGAAGCAGAGGCGGCTGAGAGAGACTGAGAATGAGAATGATCCCATCCACTCTCGTCCCCACCTTTTTACAAGGGCCGGTGATAAAACCAACCAGTTTGAAACTACAGTCATCAAATGGCTTACAGGAAGGGTCAGCTACCTAAAATAGCAACAAACACAATGGCTCAAATGTTAATATTAACATGAACCTCCCCAAACACTTTCTAAATGCCAGACACTGTGCCTGGTAAGCCCTATCCCTCATGACACCTCCAAATTCAGCCAACAGGTCCTGGGTTTTATTTGCCTTTATGGAGGACAAAACTGGGGCTGTGTGGTCACATAACCAGTTAAGAAGTGGCAAATACAGGAAGAAAAAGAAGAAGAAAAAAGAAGTGGCAAATACAGGAGCTTTAACACTCTTCATCAAATACTAAACACCGAGATTCTCCCCTCAAATCCATGCTTATCTAGACATAACATCAAGGTTCAAATTGCATTGCTCCTCAGATGGGCTCCTAACACTTCTTCCCATGAAGATTTCCATCTGGTGGGAGAGTGGCAGTGTCAGCTTCTAACCACTGTTTCAATGAAAAATTCCCCAGCTGTATTCACACCTCACCCACCACCTGAACGACTTATTTGTCCTTGGTGTTGATCTATCTGTTGTGTGACAGGACCTTTGCAGTGTAGCCTGCATGGGGTTGTAACTTCTGAGTGGGTAGCTATCCAGCTTTCTCTATTGGCTTTCCCTAGCCCTCTCTGACTACATTGCTGCTTGGACCCTGGTGCGGCTGGCTCTGCTGCCGATGGCCAGCCTGTGCAGTTTGGCGGCAGGCCTTCCTAAGTGCTTCTTCTTGGAATACCCACTTTTCTAATTTTTGAATTCTCTGCATCAATGACGTTAGCTTTTGTTTCCTGCTGGCCAAACCAGAATGACAGGTGCTGCCCTGCCATGCAGTGACCAAGGCTGTGACTGCAGGGACACTGTCGTGGGCAAGCAGTGAGCTTAAAGGGGCCTTCACTCTCTACTCCTTGCCTCAAAAAGTTGTTCTCCATCCATTGTGGTAAACTGATCCCAACAGCTGCCTTGCTAGGCCCTCAGGCTCTGCTGAACACCCAGGAGTGAGGCTGTCCCTAAGGCTCCCTTGGAAAGGATCTCATGCCCTATGCCCCTTCGGTGCCCCAGCTGAGCCAGGTCCGCGGTGGTGACACGGGGGACGGCTGGAATATGAGCCAGGCCTCCTCTTCGGCCCAGAGTTAGGGCAGTGTTTCCTATGTGGGGGATGAGCAGAAAATTCCTACCTGCTGCCAAGCACAGGCACTCCTGCTTTCACTCCAAAGGGCTAAAAACAGAGCTCAGGATTAACCATACTACTGATACAGTCCAGAAATCGCCAAGTCCAAGAAGGCCACCCTCTAATGCTACTGTTTACCGCGTGACAGGCTTAACTGGAACAGACCCTGGAGAACATTCATCTAAGCCCATACCGGCAGCTGTGTCTTATCAGCTACCTCTCATATTTGGTCATGACCTCTGCTTTGCACTCTGAGTTCTTTATTCTCTCCAGTGTGGTACATTGCAGCCACAGAGGAATCCAAATGAGCTGACTCCTGAGCCCTCCAGTCTTCCCTCCATGAACCCTCAGAAAACCCCTGAGAGTCTGCTAGAGTGTAGCCCACAGTGCTCAGATATCATTCCCAGGGGGCTGCTTACAATTGCTGGGTGTTACAGAAGCCTGGAAAAACATAGGACCTGCTATGCATTCCATTACCTTCAAGCAACCGGATGTGTGGTCAAGCCCAGGCAAACCTGCCACAGGCTCTTATTTTAACCTGTGAACTTCGTGGTAATAGGATGTGAACAAGTCTCTCCTTGTTAACATCATCCACGCGATTCCTAGTAGGCATCAGCAGCTAAGCCCCTCCTTGAATTAGAAACCAACAGAACTGACCACAGCCACTTTGGTTCAGTGGACAGAACATTGGCCTGCAGACTAAAGGGTCCCAGTTTTGATTCTGGTCAAGGACACGAATCAAACCCAGTTGCAGGCTCCCACCCTGGTCCGGGGCATGCGGGAGGAAACCAACGGATGTGTCCTTCCCTTTCTACTCTCTCTAAAAATAAATGGAAAAAATATCCTTGGCTGAAGATTGTAAATCATCATCATCATCATCAGAATAGCCTATTTATTATTAAAACTGAATGCTGGGTGAATCTGAGGTGCTTTCACCCCAACCAAACCAGAAATAGGAAATTTATACAAAACAACACATTTTATTGAGAGTCTACTAAGTGCCAGGCAGACATGCCAGGCAGGATATTTCTGTCTTCAAGGAGCCTTTGAATCTCCCAGAGTCAGCGAAGGAGTGAGCAATTACAAAACCGCATGATACAACTCGGGCTGGGGGGAAGATGTCTGAGACCAGAGCATGAACAAGCAGGTGCATTTAAAAGGCACACCCAAGGCAAAGGCCAGGGGAACTGGTGACAAAACAGCACCTGGGGCTATTT